AATCTTGGAGCCATGTCTGGCAGCTGAAATTTAACACAGATAAATGCGAAGCGATGCGCATTTCTAAAAAAAATGATTACTCAAGTCCTCAATACCATCTATGTGGTAACCAATTAAAAGCTGTATCTGAAGTTAAGGATCTCGGAATCTATATTACTTCGAACCTGTCATGGAGTATGCAAGCTAACAAATGCGCAAATAAGGCAAATAGTGTGCTTGGATTCATTAGGCGAACGGTGGGTCCTAAAAATCCTCAGTTGTTTTCAAAACTTTATAAGAGTCTAGTACGTCCGATACTCGAGTACTGCTCTCCAGTTTGGTGTCCGCACCTTAAAAAAGACTTAAACACCTTGGAGAAAGTACAACGTAGAGCATCTAAATGCGCCCTTGGAAATATTGGGCAAGACATGCCTTACGAAGAACGCCTAAAGCTCCTTAAATGGCCATCACTTGGACTTGATCCCTCGGCATTTTTCTCGGCATTTTTCACATTTGCACATGATTTTCGGCCCTTAAGAGCCAACCATTGTTTTAAACTTAAGCTTACATCAGCAACTTTAAATAGTTTTAAACAATTGTTTTTTTATACGCATAATAGATAAGTGGAACAATCTTCCAAAGGAAGTTGCTGAGGCAGAGAATTTGAATATTTTCAAGAACAGACTGAGACGTTACCTTACAGATTTTCCTAGTGAACACTAAGTTCTTTTACTGTGTGATGTTTTATATACATATATAGTTACTACTTTAAACAGTTGTAAATAATTTATTTCTTAATGTATTTTATTATCAGGAGATAAACTAGAAAGGGATAACCTCTTTTATCTCCTTTTCACTTTCCGATTTGGATTTGTGAATAAACAGTTATTATTATTATTATTATTATTATTATTATTATTATTATTATTATTATTATTATTATTATTAATAGCAGGTCAGTGAAAAGTCAGGGAATTTTTAACTTTCTGATGAGTGGCAACCCTGTAGACTAGTTACATTGATTTTGTCCGAGATCTAATGCCGCGTACTTTGCTCTGTTTGTGCAGTCGGCAAGTTGATGGAGATGCACGGTGAAGGAGCAGCCCACAGTAGCACAGATGAGACTGGTGCCAAGATTGATAGAGACAGCTTTGAGCCCCCTGTTCAAGAATCTGTGTAAAAAAAAGAGAAATGAGTGGAAAATTCAACATAAAAGATTAAAGTTCTGAAACCAGAAAAGTTTCTATGCCCCTCCTTTCTTATTTTGAAAGGTCTTTAAATTCTCATAGTGGTACTTGACTTAAAACTTCTGCGAAATATTTCTGTGCTTTCTCGTCTTACAACGTGGATGATTAATTTGCCTACAGTTCCAACAAGAAAAGGCAAAGGATTAAAACTTTAAAGAGGAGGAGAGGACATGTTGGACGCCCGGTTTAACATGTTTCGACTAAAATAATTTTCTTGTTCCCGCTCATTTGCATGAGATTCAGTTCTGCGAAATGCGACGTGTCAACCGGGCCTAAGAGTTTGGTGAAATGTGTTTGTTCCTATTCCCTTGCATACTAAGGGCCTGTTCACATGAAGGTGGGGGACCCCGGTCGGTGAGGTAACATTTGGCGGGTTACCCCACGCATCATGTAAACGTGATCACATTAAAATGAGAGATTAATATATGGATAGACAGGTTACCCCACCTAAGCGGGTTACCTCACCTATCTGGGGTACCCCAACTCCGTCTAAACTGTCTGTGAGGCCCTAAGCCAATGCATCCCTGTGATATAAACTTAAGTCTGCCTAGGCTCAACGATCGCTTTGATCGATGAAGAGTTGTTTCCATTTGATCGTTAAACTTTCATATGGAAGCCCCAATCCTAACGCTTTCAGTTTCACCTGCAGCTCAGTGCACCAGCAAAGCAAACCCAGCGCGAAACTAAGTATACCACAACCACTGTCACCACACACTCGAAATGCTCTCGAGTGGCTAATTTTAAAGCAGTTATGTCTCGAGGATATTGCTGTCGTGGGTTAGTTCCGTGCTGAAATAATAGGCCTTATTCACGATGACCGCCATCTTTGCTCGCGTTCAAGGACTGATGTCACGTGGCTTCTCAGGGGGCCAACAATTGATAAAATTTTCCAATACAAGAAATCGCGGTCGAGTTTGTTTATTCTTGACAACAGAAAATGAATAACTTTTTATATGAAATGCGATATTGGCAAATTGTGGGTGGAGGTGACCATTTTTACTTTTTTGGATGCAGTCGCGACCGTAGAAGTCATCACAACGAGCAAGAATGAAGTTGATTTTGTCGAAACTCAAACAGCACATTTTGCATGACCATTGAATCGACGTTTCGTTTTAAGAGAATAAACAAGGTCGACCGCGATTTCCCACATTGGCAGATTTTATCTCTAGCTTACCCCCTGAAATACCACGTGACATTGCTTTTATCCAATCAATCCTAAAGCACGTGCGAAGATGGCGGGTATCGTAAATAAGGTCTATTACTTCGTGCCCTTTTAAAGGGGCGGATCCAGGATTTTTTTGAGGAGGGGGTGCACTCGTCTCTTGCTCTACTTTAACAGCAGTAAACCACAGTTTTTTTTTTTTGGGGGGGGGGGGGGTGCTCACCCCCTGCACCCTCCCCCTAGACCCGCCCCTGCTTTACCCATGCACAGAATACTCGATCTGTAGAGTCATGAGGAAGATATCAAACAAATTTGACTAGGAAGCACTATCCATAATACGTTTTTGGTGACCTTTGAACGTGAAAAAGTTGGCCCTACTTATTCTATTTTCAATCCATGTTCATCTTTGTCATCCTTTGCAACAGACGATTGGAAACAGTTTCAGTTCCTAAATATAGTCTTAAACTAGTGGTAATTGCAAATTAGGGGAGTGCGTTCGATGAGAAGGAGGGATGGTGGGTAGTGAGTGGTAGTGGGAAGGGGGTGCTAAACCTGATGGGCTTGTAATATTGAGAAATCAAAATCAAACACTTTTATCAATACGAATATCAGCAGCTTTCTTTTTCAGTGTTATTGTTTATCCTCCCACTTTACAATTCGTGACTATTTCATTTTTCCTCAAAAATGCAAGAGCGAACTGTACTTTTTACATTTACTCGGCTAAACCTCTAAGTAAAGTACATGTATGTAACAACAAGTCAAACACTGACTATGATCCTCGGGATATTCCTTTGCACTCTAGGGTGGTCAATAAAATAGTCCATTTTCGAGTTCGCTATGACTGTTGAATTAAAGAAGTGAAGACGCATTTTTTACAGCCTTAGCCTTAATCTGAAGTAATATATTCACAAATTCCAACGAGAAAAAGACCTGGGCCCAGTTGCTCGAAGCATGGTTAGCGTTAACCAGCGTTTAATACCTTGACAACATATTGGTTTTGATACTGCTTAACCAATGGTTAAAGCTACCCATGGTTTGAGCAACTCAGCCCTGGTTATTACTCTGTCTATTGTATATATTCAAATTTCAAACACTTGCTTGCCAGAATCTCCGAATATTTTACCTTAAGTCGAGGCTAACCCTGTATGAATGTGTCGTTAATGTTTATATTCAGCGATAATTTTTAATTCAAAACTGGACTATTGGCTAACAAACAAAACTATACCATTATTTTGGAATTCATTTGATGCGAAAACCGTTTTAGCTCTTTAAAAAGACAGCAAATAGCGTGACGTAGCCGCTTTAAGCCATACATTTTTTGTTCATTTACATTAACATAAATCACCTGCGGTAAAGAACAAATTGCATCGTCATTTGACGTCACTGATAGCTAGCAATTGTTTAGAACCAGGATACAGTGAATATTCTGATCTTGAAATAATCCACACTGGCACCGGGCAAAGCATCTAAGAGGTTCACCGATGGATCCCCTATTATTTCAATTCACTCTTGACATTCCACCGCGAACGAAGATTTGTGTTCCGCACGAGCAAGAAGTAGTCGAGAAGCCTTTTGACGTGGCTTTGATTACCGGAGATGGGAAGAAACTCGAAGCTCACAGAAGTGTTCTCTCAGAGGCAAGCCCCTTCTTTGAAAAACTGCTGGGTAGTGACATGAAAGAGGCCAAAGGGGGAGTAGTTAGGATGGAAATGATCACAGAGCTTGGTTTAAGAGAGGTTTTGGAATTCATTTACACCGGTAGTGTTCAAATTTCGGCTGAAGACAATGCCCAAGGCCTAATCGCGCTAGCTGACTACCTGATACTTCCTCATCTTAAGGACCTCGCCCCAAGAACTCTGCAAAGGAACTTAAATTCTTCGAACTCACTCTCAATGTACTACTTGGCAGAGAAGTTTAGCTGTGAGGACTTGATGTCCAACACCAGGGATTTTATCCTAGCAAATTTTACTTCGGTGACGAAATCTGAAGAGTTTTTCAACCTGTCGTACGAGGAAGTCAAAATGTGGATCTCAAGAGACGACATACACGTTGACTGCGAGGATGACGTCTTCATCGTCATCGTAGCGTGGATTTATCACAACAAACAGGACCGAACAAAAAACCTTTCCGAGTTGTTTCGTGAAGTTCGACTTCTTTACACGTCACGTGATTTCCTACAAAATGGCATCGCTTTATGTGATCTTGTGATTGACGACGAATCCTGCATGTATCTCGTAACGGAAACTTTGAAATTCTTTGACTCCAGAGAATATCGCAATCGTCCGCTCGGCCACGTTAAGCCTAGAGTGTTGTTTGAAGTCCCTGTTTTACTTTTCTTTTTCATAGACATCACCAATGAAAAGTATCTGGCACCACTTCACTATAAACCTCGCGAGAACACAACCCATAAGGGTCATATTGTTTGTTATTTCCCTCAAGACAAGGAATGGTCAATTTTTCCTGGAGTGCTGCTAATAAAAAATTCAATTTGGATCGTCTCTTGTCTTGGTAAACTATATTTCGCGTCAGAGTTTCCGAACAACAAGCTAATATGCTACGATTCACTCACAAACTGTTGGACATCATTGCCATTCGACGGGCGAAGAAAACTACATTCGATCTTCTCTAATAATCAAGATGAAATCTTCGCTCTAATGTCTGACAATGAAAGCTCTTGCCCAGACTGCGTTTTCCTGTTCTTTCGTGGAATTGACTCGCACTGTCGAAAAAGCCATCTTTCTTGTATCAAAAAGTACAGTCCAGAATCTAACTCTTGGGACACTGTGGCAACATTTGACCTGGCCTCGAGGAAACTAGTTTGCACCGTAGCAAAAGACAATTTTATCTATTTAATTGGTGGCAGTATTCAAGAAAACGAAAGAAGTAGAATCCTGGCTGATGTTGACAGGTTTGATAAATACAATGGAAAAAGTGGCTGATCTTAAAGTACCGAGAAGCGATCCATATGGAGCTGCCGCCTACGGGACAATTTTCATAACTGGTGGTGTTAACGAATCTGGTTCGAACATAAAATCTAGTGAAATGTACCAGCCTACAATAAACGAATGGCTGTTAATAAACGACGGGCAGATGGCACCTTTTATGTTAACTAGTAAATGTTGTACATGTGTTGAAGGCAGGGTGTATTCTAGAGTGGACAGAATTATGAAAGGAAGGGTAAAGATCAAGGCCCTGCGTTATTATGACCCTGATAAGAGCGAGTGGGTGGATGAATCAGTGATGCCTCACAAGATGGAGCCTGCATACTTCTTTGGTGAAATTCCTTGTGCGATGAAAGTGTTTAAGAGAAGTAGGTTTCTTCAGCAAACCTTGAGACATTCTTGTTCCGCGCTCACTGAGTCAACCTTGTCCCCAGAGCTTTTGTCAAGTGTCCCCACCAGTCCCCCACCCGAAAACTTGAGTGTCCCTGAATAAATGAATGAATGATAACTTCATATTTACAGCTATCTCGAGAAAGGTTGTCGGAAAAAATGTGCACGCCACAATCTCGAAATGTACTATGGGATATAATCAATACACTGTTCCCTGACACTGTAGCTTGAAACCTACTTTCGTTGCTTTCCTTTAGCACTCGCAAACATACGTCTATGGCCTCTCATGCCATTCTTTCAAATTTCTTTGAAGAAGAGTGAACTCAAAACCACTCACAATACTTTTCGGGATTGTCGCGTTCACTTTTGCGACAACCTTTCTTGAAATAGCTGTATACACGGTTAAAATCATCAGTCTAACATAGAAAGTTAATTAAAAATTCTCAAAAACTGTTTTACATATTTGCCGTGTGGGAGTACTGATCAGAAAACCGTCTATCGGAACTTCTCTTAAAGAGACGTAAGGAATTTTATGCGCGCATTTCCTCAGGAAGATTGTTCCATAGAAGAGCGCCACTGTAACTGTAAATATCTTATTTAAAGAGCAGCAGGAATTACACCATGTCATAGTTTAATCATATTCTTGTATATATTTCACTAGCCATATCATTAGCTCTTATACTCATTTATATTGATGTAGATCTTCTATATTTCCTTAGTTTTATTTATTTTGTACTTAGACTTTGTATATTGGGAATCGACCTTATGCTCGTTGTAATTTTAATTTAGATAGAGGGTCATAAGTTTGCTAGTTTCTGTAACTGATTCCTTGCTACCCTCTTTAAATAAAGTGTATTATTATAAACTAAAGCTACGCTTCAGATAATCAGTTCTTGGTTTTGGGAGCATTAATTTTTCTTCGCGTTGCGAAAATAATAATTCGGTGTTCTTGGGGCAAACAAATTACACAGATAAGCTGGGGCGAGATTATTAATGTACTTGTACATTAAATTAGCTTTTTTTGTTTAGCCATTCTAACCTATAAATTGTCCCAACGAAGCGAAGATATCTGGAACTCGTATCATAGCTCGATTTGGTGATAACGCTGGTAGTACTATTTTAAAGTTTTTGAAGTTTCTCACTAAGCTGTTGGGTCAAGCCATCTCATACAGCGCTGCAATAATCGAAGTGTGGCTCAATAAGACCTTTGTACCTTTTAATTGCAGTGTGCATTGAAACAAATGGCCTGATCCGCTTAAGAGCACCGGTGCCAGAGGATACTTTTTTAGAGATTTCCATGAGAGATTTTCATCAATGATAAGCCCGAGAGATTTGCTTTGATTGCTTTGGTTTATTGGGACGCCGTCCACGTGAATGTTCCTTGTGTAGTCATTAAAGGACTGTAGTTTCTGCCTCAAGCTAATAACCATAAACTCGGTTTTGGCTAAATTGAGACTTAACTTATTAGCTTTGAGCCAGCGATCAATATATTTCAAGTCACTATTGACTTGGACTCAAGATCAGGTATAGCAACTGCAAAAAAGGTAACATTAGTGTCGTCGGCATACATTCTAGGAAAGCCCACATTCAAGCAATTTGTAATTGGTAGATCATTTATTTAGATCAATAAAAGAAGAGAACCGATTATTGACCCTTGAGGTACGCCACAACTTAGAGGGCTCGCGCTAGATAGATGATTGTTAACATTACACCTTTGCATACGGTTAGTTAGGTAAGATTTAAACCATTTCAGGGTGTCTTAATCAACCCTGTACTTCGTAAGTTTTTTTAGAATTATCTCGTGGTCAATAGTGTCAAAGACCTTCTTCAAACCAATAACGATTACGCCATTAAGAAGACTTCTATCAATATTGACACACCAGCTATCGTTTGTCTCCAACAAGGCAGTAAGAGTGCTGTGTAGAGAGCGGAAATACTGACCAGACTGGCCTCTGTTTAATAAACCATTTGCATTCAGATAGTGATACAGATAGTTATAGATAATTTTTTCGATAATTTTGGCTACGGTAAGAATAACAGATATAGGCCGATAGTTGTTTAGGTCAGACTTAGAACCATTCTTAAAAATTGGTGACACTTTACCCAGTTTCCAGTCAGGGGGGAAAATACGAGTCACTAACAACTGATTAAAGATGCCCCTTAAAGAGGGCGCGACAACATCGGCAGCAATCTTCAGAAGCCTGTTTGGAATTTGGTCAAGCCTAGTTGCCTTACCTACATCGATATCCTTAAGTAATTTGATGACTTTTTAAACATTGATCCGTTGAAAAGAAAATACTCCGTCAACAAGAAGATTGAAATAGGCAAGTGGGTCAATTTGCGAACTAGGAATTTCTTGTGCTAGAGATTGGCCTACTTTTGTAAAATGATTGTTAATATCACCAGCTGAGGTGAAAACTTGGTTTCCTGTTTTGACTTGAGACTGAATTAGTGCCTGAGTCTCTCTTTCGAAGAGGCCTTGTTTCTGGTTTCTGGAGAAGGGAAAGAAAGCGCGTGCAGAACGATGGGAAGTAGACGGAGTGAATGAAAGAACTCTCACGTTTTGTTTCTTCCCATCGCTCCCTGCGTGGTGTCTAATTATTTGGGCGTTGCCCAAATAGAGTAATCGAGATCGCTTGTTTTAATTCAAAGTTGCAATAGGCACGCAATACGTGTGAACGTAAACAATCCAAGTAAACAAGCCAAGCGACGTGAATGTCTGCAACGCGAACGACTAGTACAAGTTAAAAACCATGCCGGAAAGAAAGCTCTAGTTGATCCCACTTTTACGATCTCAAAAACCTTGCAACGAAGAAACACAATTCCGAACAGCGATGAACATGTTAAAGCAACGCAGGAATAATTTTCAAAAAAAAATAAACTTATAAATCTTAGCCTTTATATCTTACCTAGAAGCCGGGCGATTTTCAGAAATTTGAAAGAAAATCTGTCAAATAATTGGAAGAGAAGAGTCTCACAATGTTTTTTGCCCTTAGTTGTCAAGAGCCAAAGAAGATGTTACGCAAAATTATTCAGTGATCGTGCATGAGATAAATAAGAAATTGCTTCAATGAGGGGAATGACATGCGATGAGTGGCAACATATAACTGAAAGTATTTCGGCAGTTTGATAATTTCATTGGAACTAATTGATGTTAGCCTATTAACCTTAACATTAGATAATGCATAATTTTATTGCAGACTGTTTCGTAAGGAAAGGAGGTGATTTCTTATAATCTTATTGAGCAAAATGATCTCGTAAACAAGTTGCATTCTTTCACGTTCGACCCGCAAAAGTGGCAAAGTGCAACATCTTCACTCCGTGCAGACTGCATGCGTGACAGTTATTCTTAAAACCCTTGGGTTAATTAGATTAATTAAGTCGTATTCTCTCAAACACGAACCACGAAAGCACCAAATTCCTAAGCCTTCACGTGCAAACTGCGTAACAATACAGCTCACAGTAAGGGCTAAATTACATGAGCCGGGCCGGGCTGGCTAGATCTGCCGAGGTGACTTTAATCCTGGTATTACATGGACCGGGCCAGCCCGGAGCCGCCATTTTTATCAGTGTGTTGCCCGCTGTCCTGTGTCTCGCTTGGTTCATTTGACGGGCTGCTCAGGAAGCGTGATTACTTAGGAAATTTCCATCCGGGATCCCGGCATCATAAAACTGGGATCCCAACTAACTGGGCTGGCTCGGTTGTCATGAAATCGCAACGTTGATTTTTGTTTCGTTTATAACTAAGGCGCCGCGATAATCAGGCCTTTGAGGTACGGAAAAACGGGCGTTTGGGCGTTTTACCAGCCATACCAGGATCACACCTGTCTTGCAACAAATCAGGTTGTTAACAGGATTGAATGTGGCTAGTAAAACGCGCAACATCGCGAGTGGGTAGAAAACGAAGACCTAAGACCAAAGACCCAAAAACGAAGACCCCCCTCAAAATCACTTATAAATCTCTAGAAACGGGTATCTCGACCTTAGATGTGTAAGAAACAACAACATCTTCAATTATACAATTGTGTTGAAAACGAAGACCCCTCTCAAAATCACTTGGAAACGGCTGGGAACTTCTTTTAACGACTTCCAGACACTAAATGAGTGTAATTAACACCCGCGACAACTTTAACATCTTCGAGTGACATGGTTATTTAATGTCATGGAATGGGGCATTTTGATGGCAATCACAGAAGACATGACTTCGAACACTTTACAGCAAAGGATGATTCCGCAGAAAACTCAGACGAAGACCCTGGTCGAAATTTTGTATAATTGAAAATCGACTGGAGCCGTGTTGTTTCTTACACTCCTTTAGTGTCTAGAAGTCGTTTAAAGCAATTTCCAGCCTTCTGCAATTGATTTTGAGGGGGTCTTCGTTTTCTACACACCGGGGGGATTGTGTAGAAAACGAAGACCCTGATCGCAATTTTGTATAATTGAAGATACTGTTGTACAGTTTCTTACACATCTAAGATCGAGATACTCGTTTCTAGATATTTATAAGTGATTTTGAGTTTTGGGTCTTCGTTTTCTACCCACCCAGCAAAATCGTTTTCAACCTTTTC